CGGCCCAAGATGGCTTCAAGATGGCCCCAGACGGCCTCAGAGGCTCCCAAGAGGCATCCAAAACGGCCCAAGAGGCCTGCAAGGGGTCCTCCAGGAAGGCCCGAAGAGGCCAAACTCATTGATTGTCCTTGGTTTACGGTTTATTAGAAAGAATGAGTTTGTCATTTGCTTCTGTTCTATCCTCCGACGACCCAAGACGGCCCAGGAGGCCCCCAAGATCACCCCAAGAGCGCCTAAGAGACGTCAAAAAATGAACCCACGACGGCCCAAGAGGCCCCTCAGATGGGCGGAAGAGGGCCCCAATGCCGCCCAACAGGCCTCCAAGACGCCCAAGATAGCCTCCAAGACGGCCCTGAGAGGGCCCAAAGACGGCCCAGAGATGCCTCCAAGATGGCTTCCGACGGCGTCAGGCGTGCCAGGAACGCCCTACGACGGCCGAAGAGGCCCCCAAGAAGCTCCCAAAGGTCCCAGAGATGCCCAATGAGGCCTCCAAGAGGTCTCCAAGAGGCCTCCAGGAAGCTCCCGGGAGACCCAAGAGTGCCCCGGGAACCTCGCCCTCCCTTTTCTAGTTTGGCCGACCTCTGGCCACAACGTTCGGCCACATAGGCGCTTCCAAACAGACAGAGGGTGGCGGTGATTCGCCGTAGGCATCTTCGACCAATATATATATATATATATATATACACGCACATACGTACACATATACATACATACATACATACATACATACATACATACGTACGTACGTACGTACGTACGTACGCACGTACATACAAATATAAACACATACACACATACATACATACATACGTACATACATACATAAATACAGCCATGCACACATATATACGTACATACGTACATACATACATACATACACACGCATACATACATACATACATACATACATACATGCGTGTATGATTTCATGCATGCATACATACATACGTACACACACATACACACATACACACATGGATACATGTACACATTCATACTTACATACACACACACATACATACATACACACATACATACATACATACACACATGCATGCATAAATACCTACAAACATACATACATACGTACCTACATACACATACATACAAGCATACATACATACACATACATGCATACACACATACACATCAGAGTGAGGGGCCGGACGGTCATTCACCGTCCCTGGGTGCGTGGCTGAAGTGGGATTCCGCGGTGCGGA